TACAGGGCTCCTAGAACTTCCGGCCGCAGGAACAAAATCTTCATCAGGATCCCATGCTTCAGGATGTACTCTCCTAAGCCCGAACTAAATCCTAGGGTCCTAGAACCCCGCAACCCTAAAGCGTAAAAGGTTTAGGGCTCAAGCCCCGAATCCTAGACCCTACACCCGGGCTTAGGGTCCCCAAACCCTAAACCCGAAATCTGAAACCTAAGCTTCGTGGCCGAGCCCCTGATATGGCCACAGTTTGTGCTCATGAGGGCAGGGTTCAGGGTTGAGGGTTTAGGGTTTGGAGTTTAGGGTTTAGGGTTTAGGGCTCCCAGCAGTTCGGAGAGAGTCCTGGGTTGAAAAAAGGGTGAGGGTTCAAGGTCTACCGCAAGCCCCTTATCCTCGTCCCCATGGTGAAGTGGTCCCTGTCATAGTAAGAGTAGTAATAATAAAACCTATGTTAAAAAAGTAGTAGTAGCAGTAGTAGTAGTAGTAGTAGCAGTAGTAGTAGTAGTAGCAGTAGTAGCAGATGCAAGATTAGGAGTTATAGTAAAAAAACGTGGTTTTGCTAGTGGTAAGGTTCACGGGACTTAGTTGCTACTTGTATCTATTTTTGTATCCCTATTTACAACGCCCCCTAGCTGGACTTATCTAGGTTACCCCAGTACAAAGTAGGATTACAGTTACAAGCCCAGTTGTAAGCAGCCACTAAATCCGATGAACCTGCAAGTTATAGCAAAAGTAATACCGATGAGAATAGTCATAGCAAAATTGCATTCTTAAATCGAATGTTGACTAGGGTTGAGGGGTTGCTTGCTTGGACGTCATCAGGGCAAAGAACGGATTGAGATCCCCATCACTTACTGGGGCTTACTAGGGAACAAAGGCGGAATATACAATCCTCATACAGGCCCTAGATACTTAATCTTTTCCCTTCTTCGCTACTAAGCCCTAAGCCCGAAATCCTGAGCCCCATAATTTCTTTCTTCCATACAAAGCCCCAAAAAAGACAAGGCCCTGGATGTGCGGAGACCAGCCGCCATGAAGATGATTCCGAGCAGCAGAAGCTACGGGCTGCACTGCAGCAGGCTCAACGCTGAAGTCTTACGTACCCTCTCCCAAACTGATTGGGTTTTGTAGGGGTTATCTTGCGGTTATATGGGGATAATGGAAAAGGAAATGGAAACTACTATTTAGGGTTTAGGGTGTAGGGTGTATAGTCCACTGAAGTCTTACCCTCTCCCAAACTACTTACGCGATCTTAGTAGGGAATAAGGGAATATACGATGTTTAGGGTTTAGGGTTTGGGACTAGGGTTTAGGGTTATAGTCCGCCTTAGGTAGATAGAATATGGCTTTGGGTATATTATAATAAGATCCCCATATACCCCATATTCTATCTATGTCAGGGGGACTCTATACTCGTTCTTAGTAGGGAACAAGGGAATATACTATGTTTAGGGTTTAGGGGGTTTAGGGTTTAGGGATGTACGGAATATGTAGGGATTCTATTCCTTTGTTCCTTACTAAGATCCAGTAAGACGATCTAAGGAATTTTCAGGTGGCCAGTTTCCCCATACAAGCCTTGCATAGCCCTTTTAGAGTCCTAGTGTCCCCGCATAAGCCTTACATTGGGTACAGGGTTTAGGGTTTAGGGTTTAGGGTACTGCCCCCACCCAGTAACAGTCTATATTAGGGGTCCTACTAAGGGTTATATAACCCTATTATACCATTATCCAACTGTTACTGAGGGGGGGCAGTACCCAAGCCTTACATAAGCTTTTATTTGAGGCTACCCACCTGGTAGCTACCCACCTGAGAACTATTTTTAAACTAACATAAAACCTGAAGAGGGGTCCCTTCTAGGCTACTGTCCTTTCTGACAGGGGGGGTAAACGTGGGTGTTCAGGGTTTTAAATGACTGTATGATGTTCTACTCTCAGTAAAAGAAAACGCAGCTACTGCTCACTTGCCTTTTGAAAACTGAGGAGTTTGCCAAGCACATGGCTGGGTTCTTGAGCCAAGATAGATCTCATGTATGGGTCATGGGCTATCCGCTTGCGAGATTCGGTAGGTCTGGGGGCTCTCTATGAATTCTCCGTGTTGTGCCGTAAAGGTGGTTTATCTATCAGCAATCCAAGCACTGCATTTTGAAAGCCCTAAGCCGCCTTAAACACGACACCTATGCTCGTTTGACTAGTTTTGCCTGGGGTCTGAGACACACTATGCCTACACTGCCATGCCAGTATGGGCCATTAAACCTTAAGGGTACCTTAATCTACCCTTAATAGGGTCCTAATAGGGAATCTTAGGGTCTAATAGCCCATAGTGGTGTGTGCGTGTGTTGACACCTCGCACCCGTGGTTGAATTTGGCCGAAAGCGTTAAACTAAACCCGACACACACGGACAGTTCTTTATGTAAGGGATTAGAATAGTACCCCCCCCAAAGGTCCCCCCCAGGGTTTAAGGAGCTAATAAGGACTATATAAGGCTTAATAAGGCCTAAAAGGGTTCCAAATCAGGGTGGGGTACCTTTGGGGGGAGTAGTATTGGAATCCCTTATTATGACAACTGTGGACCGGAATCATACCTCGCGATGCCTCAGCCATGCAGGTGACAAAGCTAGACTGAACACAACACCCATGGGTGTGGGCCTACACCTTACAAGTAAGGTTTAAAACAAGCTTGCACGCACTGGTGCAGAAGGCCTACTTGGAGGCCCCTAGGATTTAGTGACTACTTATAACTGGGCTTATAAACCTAATTATAATCCCCCTAAATGGGTTTATAAGGGTTACCCAAAGTATAAATAGGCTTATAAGTCCAGTTATAAGTAGTTACTAAGTCCCATGGGCCTCCAAGTAGAATGGAGATTCAGCCGTACAGGAGAGTGATCAAGGGGTCGTCCTCTCTGTTATTTTCATTTCATTATAATCAGTTCTTCGAACTTATGAACTGTTAATAAGGTTAACCAAACTACTATTCCTGTTTCATTATAATCAGTTCTTCTTACTTATGAACTCTTAATAAGATACATCAAACTTCTTATTACGACTATCACCGTTATTCGTATGTTTTATTCTGCCTTGCAGGTGACCTTGGATGGAAGCTCAGATTGCAAGGAGCTTCCCTGGCCCCTAAACCCTAAACCCGTGGGACTTCGCTCGTTGTAAAGGTGCGCTTAAACGTTTTGGGGTATATACACTCCCCCAAACTAACGTGGAAACCCACATAGTCCCCTTTTAGAAGGACAGTAGTCTTGATAGGGCCCTTTTTGGGTTTCCATGCTCGTTTCCGGGAGTGTACTGCCTTCTATAGTTAAAGAGGTTTATAGTTTCAGGCCTGCCAACTAGCAGCTAGGTCTGTGAGGTGTAGGGTTCAGGGTAGTAGGGGTTCAAGGGTTCAGGGATTCAGGGTTTAGTAAGGGATTCCAATACTACTCCCCGCAAAGGTACTCCCCAAGATTTAGAACCCTATTAGGCCTTATTAAGCCCTACCTAGTCCTTATTAGCTCCTTAAACCCTGGGGGGGTACCTTTGGGGAGTATTATTGTAATCCCTTATTTAGGGGATTAGGGTTTAGGTGCAGCCAGTCGGGCTTCAGCCAAGACTGAGAGGACCTCTCTCGGAATTGGAGGCAGAGTTGACCTCGAAACCCTAAGCCGTAAAGCGGGGTTTTGGGTTTTAGGGTTTTAGGGTTTTGGGTTGAGGGTTTTAGGGTTTAGGGTTTTAGGGTTTAGGGCTTAGGGCCCTAGATTCTAAGCAAAAAAAATTCATGTGCCTATCACAGTGCCGAGGGTTGAGGCTTGAAGGGTCAAGTGCGGCAGGGTTTAGGGCTGCAGAGGATGTTTGTTTTTGCCGTCTTTCTCCAATCCTTGATGGGACTTCAGAAACGGCAGTGCTAGACTCTAGGGGCTTTAGGAGGGACCCTTCATGGGGACCCTTGTAGCTTATTGGGGGTAATAGGGGTACTACCTGGTTATAAAATGGGTATACAAGGCCTGTATAAGGGTTATATAAGGTATTGGGATTAGGAGTCCCTTCTAGGGGTCCCTCCTAACCACCCTTGATAGACATACGCCCAACCCTAAACCCTGAATGATATAGTAGTTTCCATTTTCTTCTACATTATTGCTTTCTTAACCTACTTACTAAGGTCTCCCTGACCAATTTGACTGCCTTTGAACTGCAAGGTAGAGCAGGAGTCGGGGCTATGTCAAGCAACCCCCCAAACCTGAAACTCCAACGTCCATCCTTCTTCGTCGTGCGAGTTGCTCTCAAATGCCCTACGCCTTCAACTCTAAACCCCAAACCCTAACCCTAAAGACCTACCCAGCATCTTCGGTGCCGTTAGCCGAGCAGTAGGCTGTGCAGCTTAAATTTCTTATGTTTGAAGGGCATCTCTTGCAGTCCGGGCGTATGGAGTCCAGCTTCTGTTCCGGTTTAGGGTTTAGGTTTAAGGGTTTGGGGTTTAGGGTTTAGGGTTTAGGATTTCTTTCTTGGACGTCTACCCCGATGTCTTTGAGTGAGAGGCCTGACTGACTGGGATAACATCTTGCGCTGCTGCATGGCCATGCAAATTGCAAAAAACACACACCAAAGCAATCGCTAGATCCAATACATATAAATATATATATATAAATTCATACGAACAGGTATGTAGTACCTCCCCAGCAGGGTATACATTCATATGCACAAACCCTAGACCCCAAAACCGTAAACCACACATGGGTAGTTCCCAAAATTAGGGTCCCATTGTGGTACCCCGAAATATTAGGTGCCGTAATATAACCTATGACCAAAAGGGGCCCATAATTTTGAGAACAGCCCACATGCATGTATGCAAATAGCCCTGGAGGAGTTCAAGCCAAATCCGCGGCTTGCCCACCTCTGCACTGAATGCTTCTGGCTTGCTGTTAAGGAACTTGAATTATGTTACTGTTAGAAGGAAACCTTGTTCTGTGTTATACACACATTTAATGGTAACTTGATATAAGCTCCCTGACAGCAACCCAGGCTTTCGATCACTGACGCTTGGCCTGTAATCAGGTCCCGCACGCAGGTTGATCTGCGCTGTAGGTCGGAAAGCCCCAAGTTATAGGGTCCTGAATTGGGGGTGGTTGTAATTCAAGGGATTCCGTGTAGGGAACGGGTAGTTTAGAAAACTCTGTGGGCCGGGGATCTCAAGTTGAAGCCAGGATAGACCTGCTGTCCTATATAGCTCATACTTATGTTCCACAACGCAGATACCTGGTGTGCAGCTGGCTGTTCTGGTTGTTGGTAGTTCACTCTTTCAGCTCTTGCAGTATTTGCCCATCCCTCAAAGACATTTAGGGCGACAAGGGGACACGGTTCAGTAAACCGCTGCTGCAAACCTGCAGATTTGCTGCAAGAGACGTCACGTAAGCGGGGGGGTGGGTGGGTGTTCTTTCTCTTATTGCGTACAAAGACAAGAGAAGTGTCCAGATTTTGATTACGCCTGGATGTCGACTCTCTCCAGACCAATCAAAAAGCTGTGCAAGAAGCTAAGTGGATGTGCCTACACAAAAGTTCCTTTAACTTAAACCCTAAGCCCCAAGCATGCCTTCATCGCAGGAACCACCATGCTGCCACCGCGATCAAGAGCGCAAGGCACATTGCAGCTGCCATGGAAACCAGTGCTGCAGGATTGGCCGCGAATCTTCCACTCTTGGCGCATGCTGTTGATGGAAGCAATGAGTTACAGTCTCATCTCCTAGTATCCCCCTTATTAGCCCTTATGATACTCCCCTATCTAATCCCCTGTGGCGCGCCCCTTTAATTTAAGGAGGTTTGTGGATTTTAGACCCTAAACCTTATATAATCCCGTGTATAACGCCCGTTTAAGGAGTTGAGACTATAGCTCAAAAGGGGTTCAGGTCTTTTGTTGAAGTCCTCAGATGAAGGACACGGGCTTGTAGGGTGGACCCCAATCTGCGGGAAGCACTCAAGTCAGGGCTTAGGGTGCTGAATCGGCATCGACTTATCTTGTCTACATTCCAACTTGTACTTCTGTTTGAATCGTTTCCAGCGAAGTAGCTGGAAACATCATCGCGTCTCGGGTAGCAGTCCTGAGTTGTGGTGTTCGCGACCCGTAGCCAAGAGTCCACGTGCAAAAAAGGGTTAAGGGCTTGGGGTTTAGGGCCTTCATGAGCTTGCAGTATCGTCCCACATCAAGGGGCCTTGCATGGTATATAGATGTATATAATATGGTAGTTTCTCAACATAAGGGGACCCCAATATAGACCCCAATATACTACAATCCTTATTATGGCGACGCCCAATAAGGGTACCCTAAACCCTATCAACCCCTATATAAACACAGTTTCCATTTAATTTTCCATTTTCTTTTCCATTTGATTCTCCATTATTGGTAATTTTGGGAAACCCCCCATATACCCCATATTCCCCTAAACCCTAAACCCTAAACCCTAAACCCCTAATTTTGGGAAACTCCCATATAGTGATAGTGTATCTAGGCTTCAGGATCTTGCAGGATTGTGTCCACTAACGGTACCATGATCTATAGTCTAAACTCCTTGAAGGGGGTTATACAGGGGATTATACAGGGGCTTAGGGTTTAGGGTTTAGGGTTTAGGGTTTAGGGTTTACTATAGAGGTTATTAAGGGGGATACTAGGAGTCTAGACAGTAGCTCACATGATCATCATCATTGTCGCTGTTGTAGTTCTTGTGTGTCTTGCGTGTGCATCATCAGCAGTTCATCAGTTGAATGCATGTGCTGATGAAACTTTGGACTAAACCCTCAACCCTAAACCCTAAACCCTAAACCCTATATAACCCATTATAGTAGTTTCCATTTTCTTTTCCATTATTCCCAATATAACCCCTATATAACTAAATCCTAAACCCTTTTTTGTGTTAGATTTGTAGCAGTATCTAGCAGAGACTTGCAAGGTGCCACTCTTTCCCTTTCGTGTTCAAGCGTTAGCCACTTGGAGGGTCAGGGGGACTTAGTAAGTGGGTTAATGATGGGGATAATTAGGGTTACTATAAGGGTTATAGGGGTTATTAAGCTACTTACTAAGTCCCCCTGACCCTCCAAGTAGCCATCGAATCCAAAACGTAAAGCTGGGAACTGTCGGGCCCAAGGATTGGAGTTTTAGAGTTTAGGGTTTAGGGTTTAGGGTTCAGGGTTTAGGGGCTTGAGGGGTTAGGGTCCAAGGATTGAATTTTCTGTGAGTCCGCTATGCAGGAAAGAGGGCGGCGACCCGCGTGCTGGAAGTGGAGCAAGGGGCTGCGATCTATTTGGGTGGCGCTGGCGCAGCCGCTAGTCACGATGTTAAGTTGGTTCGTCCATGCTTTTTCTCAAGATGAGAAGCACAGAGAGGTATCTTCAAAGCATCACCTGTTCGACAGTCGCTTTCCATTCCCAGTGTGCGTTAGATTCTCGCAGGTCATGAACCCAGAATTCCTGGTAGCGGAGAACATCAAGGGCATAGTCACATGCGCACGCGATCCTTGGATTTTGAGTCGTGTCGCAGAAGCTTCATCCATTAGCACTGGGGCTTTCGTCATGCCCGTGGGCTACTGCAACACATCGTCTTGTTCCATGCTGCCAAAACAATTTCGGTTGCACCTGACGCTACTGCTGATGCTGCCGCCACTGCTGCCACTGATGCTGCCACCACCACTGCTGCAGCTGCTGCTGCTGCTGCTGCTGCTACCGTTTCTTATCAATATTTGGCACTCCTACTACATACTTCCTCTACGTCTCTTATCATTGTTTGGCACTTCTACTATATAAGCTTCCTCTACGACAACAACGACTTGGAGTGCAAGCGGAGGTTCTCACAATTTATAGTTCTGCTTGTTGATGGAGGGAACAGGCAGTCGTGTTATCCCAGAATGCTTTTACCTCAGATCCTGAACGCTCAGCTCCAACTCCATGCCCTGACAAGTCCAGCATGCCTGTGTTCATATGGTAGGTTCTCTAAACAGGGGGACCCCAATACAGGCCCCACAATGCTATAATCCGCATTGTAGGGACCCCCAAAAAGGTACGCCTAATTTTGGGAAACTCCCATATGAAGGATCTGCAAGTCCTCTGGCCCAAGTTCAACGAAGCTGTGGCGGATGCTGAAGCGCGTGGAGCCTCAACGAGCACACGGTCTAGGGTTAGAGTTAGTATTTGATAAGTTTCATGCCTTGCATTTTGAATGGAAATCCAGTGCATGGGGTTCTGAATTCAGGCTTGGCCATTTGGAGGGCAGAGTCTCTCTCAGCATGCTTAACTATTATTTCTACTGTTCTTATTCTTACAATTACTAATCTTGACTGTTGTTAACCCGTCTTAACTGTTATTACTGTTATGAAGACACATCAGCGTCGAGATGTTTTGGTGTTGTTAGGTATTGTCACAAATTCTTCGTGCCTCGAATGGTGAAGGTGGGCTGGGTGGGTTAGTTTTCAGAACCCGCAGCCCTAAACCCTGATCCCTAAACCCTGATCCCTAAACCCTAATCCCTAGACCCTAATCCCTAGACCTTAATCCCCAAAGCCTAACATACGATTCATCTCTTCAGGTCCATTACTTCTCCCAAGCAATTTCCCACGGTTGACAAATGAATTGAGGGGTACCCAACTGTCAGTGAATTTAAGGTAAGTTGAAAAGGGTATATCGGCTTTAGCGTTTAAGTTACATAATAAGTTACCATAATGTGGGTATATGGGATTTAGGATTTAGCTGTTTAAGTTACCATAACATGGGTAGATAATAAATTTTAGTAGCGAGAAGAACTGTTCCGATTTGTGCAGAGATCATGGAGAAATCTTCTAACATGCGAAGGGCCCCAAGCATCGCTTCACGTCTCAGGTTTAAAGTACCATCTTGTGCCACTGCTGGATGAGCCGCAGCAGAAACTGGAAGTAGAAGATCTGCGGAAAGCTGCCGGGTTCCTGCATCAGATCCTTGGCAAGGTGTTGTGTCACACGATTCTTATGGTCTTTGGTTAAGGTTGGTGCGCAAAAAGGTTTGAGGCTTGAAGATGTCACTTTTCCTCTGGCTCAGGGAGGTAGCGGTGGTTGACATTGATTTGAGGGTCGCCGTGGCGGGTAGCTGTAAGTCAAGAAGGTGGCATCGGAGTTCTGCAAATACAGACTTTTGGGACCTGATCGATGTATGGCGATTAAAGCAGAGGGAATTATGGGAGTCCTTCCTGAGCATTTTCTGGGGGCAAATGACTGGAAACTTCCACATTTGTGGCCGCCCGGATTGAAATTCTGTCCTTTTCAGAGGGGTGAATATAGGCTCGACGGTAATCATTTTGGGAGCTGACATTTTTACAAACAAACCCTAGACCCTACTTAGGAAGGATCCCGTGCGATGCTCCAGCATAATAAAAGGATTTTGGTAACCCCAACCCCCCGAAATTCGGACCCTATGACTATCACATGATGGTTATAGGCCTTATTTGGGGGGGTTGGACCCTCAACCCTTAACCTTAGAGCCCGGGGCCAGGATCGTTGAGGCAGGAGGGAACGTGCTAGTCCACTGCGCGCAAGGCCGGCGTGAGCTTGTCTAGGGTTCAGGGAAAATCAAGAATCAAATGGCTCGGAATGTTGCAGCAGTTTGCTGAGATTCTCATTGCGACATGCAATCCGCCCACAGACCTAAGCCCGATTCGTAAGCCCTTACCCCTAAATCCAAAACCTAAGCCCTCATCCCTGAACCCTTATTAACCCTCATTTGAGTAGTATTTTATTTGGGGATACTATGGTACCCATTATAGAGTAAGATTCGATCATCCTTTTGGAGTATAGTATTTTATATAAGGAATAAATCTCTTACTGGGTTTAACCACAAAAAAAACGCTACTCATGTGTCTCCACTCGAAGCAGATACTTGGAGGGTCAAGGGACTTAGAAACTACTTGTGACTGGGATTATATGGGTGGTTGCCAACATTATGGTTTCTTTTTGGGCACCCTAAATATTAGGTGCCGTATTATAATAGGGACCCAAAAAGGGACCATAATTTTGACAACCACCCATATCCCTAGTTATAGTCCCCCTAAATGGGCTTATGGGCCTTACCCCAATTATAAGTAGGGGTATAACCCTACTTATAAGTAGTTGCTAAGTCCCATGGGCCTCCAAGTAGGCCGAAGCCGTTCCACAACTGTGCTTCTGGCGTATCTCGCAGCTGCAAAGAACATGACTGCCACTTGGGCTGCTGAGGCTTAGAGGTCTATTGGTTTAGGGTTTATAGGATTTGGGGTTTAGGGTTTACAGGGTTTCGCGTTTTTAGGGTTTAGGGTTCAAGGATTGGAGTTTAGGGTTGTTGGTTCAGGCTTCCAGGGTCAGGGTTGAGGGTTCTAGGTTCAGATTCAGATTGGCTGGGTGGCTGTTAAGGAAGTGACCTGAAGTCACTATATTATCTCCCTATAATGGAGAATCAAATGGAAAAGAAAATGGAAAATTACATGGAAACTGGGGAATTCAGGGGTTTAAGGGACTTAATTTAAGTTAATTACCATATTTGGGAAACCCTAACTTTTACTATGTATGTCGTGACGTGTATAATTCCTCCGGCTTGTAAATGTGGAGCCCGCAAGAGCACCATGTGGAATGGCTCCAGCTTTCTTTGCCCAAGCCCCACCGTATGAGCAGCACACACCTAGTATCCGTAGGATTGGCCATAGCCTGGTTTGTGGAGACGAAGTTGCACGCACGCGAGAGGCCGTGTTGCAACTGGAGGAGGTCTCTGGGACTTGTTCCTTGCAGCTTTGGGTCCAGGGTTGGTTACTACGACTTAGTGGGCTAGCCGACTTGATCCTCATTGTGCTCTTGCTGTGGGTGTGGTTCACACGGTCGAGGGTGACTTCGGTGGCTCCGCCTTTGCCAGAAGCTCTGTGTGATCAAGATCGGGTGGCTTCGGGATCTTTGATTTCAGGGGTTCCTTCGGAGGCGTCTTTGGGATCAGAGTCCTCTACTACAACTCCTTTGAGACCCACCTCGGCTCGTCCGACTAGACCCTCAGACCTGAAGAAATGGCAGACCTCACCTTAGACATCCCGGAGATCCAAATTGTTGTTCACTACCCTGGGGACCCTGGGGGCTTCGACTGGCATCACCGAGTGCTACTTCATCGCATAGAAGGGGGTAGGTGGATTACCCTCACACCAGGCTTGGAGCTACAGCGGCACGACCTGACAGCGCAGAACCATCGAGTCTTGGATCGGGCTGCTCCTTATCCTGCCGACATAGCCGCGCAGATCTACGCCCACGACCCGATTGGACGAGCTGCCCTCTCGAACTTCAAGAGGCAGGCACAGATCCAGGCGGCGATTTTGGGAGAAGGAGCGGTGATCGAATCCGAGGCCTCCCAGTGGGTGATTGCCGAGGGCCAGCATCCTGACTTTGGCAAGGCGGCCGACGCGGCACTTCTTGCGAATGAGGCGACCGGCCTGGCCTTCACCTTGAAGGGGGTCATCATCCTGAATGGCGAGGAGATCTTTGTCGAGAGGGTGATGATCAGCGAGATAAAGGCATGGAGAGGTACTAGGTCTTCGGCAAGCTGTTCCTTTGATGAAGAGTCCTCCCGACCCCGAGTTCCCCATCCAGGGCACCCGGGCGGCCAAGGAGTTCCACGAGGCGGTGTCCTTGACCACGGAGGGCTTCCTCACCTATCATTCTGAGTGGGTGCGCTTGTCGGGAGTGAGCCGGAAGACCAGTTCAGTTGACATTCACCGCTCTGTGTGTGAGGCTCTCAGACTGATGCACTCCTTCGACCAATTGGACGCGAGCGCACTGGCCGTGGGTGAGCACTTGACAAGGTGGGTGATCCAGACTGAGCTGGCCGTGGAACGCAACCCTTCGGCGCCGGACTTCAGCGGCCCAGCGGGACAGCTCAGCTTCCAGATGGTCGGGCGGCTACTTCCAAGTTTTCCGAGTGGGTCTCTTCAAGACTCAAGGAGAGGGCTTCGCTCTGGAAGCAGGAAAGGCTTTTCCATCAGGAACGTCGACAACTTCGAGGGAGCGGCTATCGTGGAGAAGGTGATGACGACGACAGCTCCGAGGAGGACGGCAAGGGCAACCGAAAGAAGAAAAAGAAGAAGAAGAAGGGCGGCAAGGGTGAGACTTCCACTGCCGGCGCTCCTTCAGGGGGCGCCGGGGGAGGAAAATGAGCTTGAGCATCGGGGGCGGGCCTATGCCGGGGACATCGTCCCCGCCCTCCTCCTCAAGTCTGGCAACTGCATGGTCTGAATTTGGACTCCGGGGGCTATCTCCTCATCGGAAGCATGGAGATCCTTTTCCTCTGCCCCGACTTTCTCCAGTACCTGACGGTTCGGGTACTTCATCTTTGTCAAGATTGCACCGGCGAGTTGATGCGGCATTCCGCTCTTTAAACAATCTTGCTGCAATCCCTTTTGTGCCAGTTCGCTCCGCTCCTCCTCCATTGACCTCGGTACAGCAGTGGATGATGGATGATGTGTGGCGGAGGGTTGCCCTATATGGCGAGTGTCCTTCCGAAGTGACCGAGACCTCGTCCTTGAGCGACCTTAGCAGGCGAGCCAACCTGTACTCGCAGGAGGCCATTCACCTTGTGGAGACAGACCTGGGCAAGATCAAGATCCTCCGACGGCGTCTTCAACTGCAGGGTGCTAGAACCTTGGTCCCCCCACAGCCGCGCTGCTACTTGGACAAGTTCAACGTTTTGGTCGAGCGCATTTTCGAGGAGGTCAAGGGACTTCGAGGATCCGGCAGCTTGGTGGAGCCATACTGGGATCCGGGGCTTCGACGCAACCGTTTACTCAGACTCAAGCTCTATATACCAGGCCTTGTGTGCCGCCAACTTGTTGACCTTTCGCCGTCGTCGCAAAGCTCGAGTGGGTTTCTTCACCGTCCGCAAGAAGGACACCGACCAGCAACGATTGATCATTGACGCCAGACAGGCGAACTCCTGTCATAGGCCGCCTCCCACGACACGCTTGGCGACTCCGGCTGGAATGACAAACTTGGACCTCTCCCCGGGCACCTTGGAATCTGATGGCTTCGGCGGCTACCTCGGCGAGGCAAGTGTTTCGAGCGAGTCAGGTGATGTGGGGGATTGTTTTTATAATTTTACAGTCCCAGCTCTCGCTGCCTGGTTCTGTACGGATGATTCTTTTGATCAAGACGAGCTGGCAGGGCTGGGCTTTCAGGTGGACGGCGTCTACGACGACGAAGTCGAGCGGGAGCTTCCCCTTCAACCTGGCGAGCGAGTTTGAAGTTGACAACGTGGAGGGCCAGGGTTGGATGCACAGTCTTGGCCTACACTTCGACTTCGGCGACCGCTGCACTGCCCGATCGAAGACCACACGCGCCTGGACCCTCTGGATGGCCACACGTGGACTCCTTCGACGGCGTCGGGTTTGTGGACGGCTCCTTCGAGTCTGGCTCGGGCTTGCCAACTTTCACTTTCAGTTAGCGAGACCTGGGCTGAGCGCCCTCTCCGCCACCTACAAGTTTGCCGCCGAGCACCTGGACCACAGGGCGCCTATGTGGGCGTCAGTTCGTTCGGAGCTTCGTGACGTCCTCGGCCTCATCTTCTTGGTGGAGGTGGACATGTCTGCGCCCCTGTGCTCTGAGGTGCATGTGGGCGACTCGTCGGATGGGGGTTATGCCCTCATGAGCACTCAGGCGAGCCACGCGGATGTGAGAGAGGCGCTCCGTCATCGAGAACGTTGGCGATTTCGATACGGTTCGGAGCCTTCTCCACAACCACAGTTTGACGCGGAGCCGCTTGGATATGCTGGCCAGACTCCTCTGGCCGGGCTTGGTACCCGGACTCAGTACGGCAAAGAGTTGACTTGTGCTCTGGACGCCGCGCTCCAAGACCCCCTCTTTGGTGGGCGCTCAGGAGGAGGTGGAAAAGACCGTGATAGCAGGCCCTGCCATACCTCTGTTGGCGGGCTCGTGGGATGATCCTCATCGCTGGACTTTAGTGACAGCCAAGGCCTGGGACAACGTCAAGGAGCACATCAACTTCAAAGAAGCGAGGGTGTGCTTGATGGGTCTTCGCAGGCTATGCCGTACAGTACGCAACCTTGGCACGACCGCCCTCACCATCACGGACAACCTGGTCTCCGCTCTCGCCTTCGAGAAGGGGCGCAGTGGCTCACGGCCGCTCAACAACCTCTGCAGGCGAGCAGCAGCCTACCAACTTGGAGGACGCATACAATGGCGACTCCGGCACATTGAGAGCAAACGCAACGTGGCGGACGAACCTTCACGACGTTTCGGTCCAGACCTACCTCGACCTTACCTTCGCGGACGACCCCCTGATGGCGACCAAGAAGCTGATCTACGACAACCTCCTGTGCCTGTCTCTCTACACGCTCCTCGACTTCCCGGAGGGCATGGCACCCAGGGCCTTCATCATGAGGCCGCCTCCTTTGAGCTGGGCCACACTCCCCGAGAAGTAGTCGACGTGAAGAGCGACTTGCGGCGGGCAGGTTTGGAAGCTGGCTCCCTAGACTTCGAGAAGCTGAACCAGAGCCTTGGGCACACGCCTAGCTCTTCTTCAACCTCGGCACCTCCTCGCTACTTTCTGGAGCTCTTCTCCGGCACGGGGCGGCTGACTGAGGCCGTGCAAGCAAGTGGTCTTTATGTCTTGCCCGATTTTGAGGTCGGCAAGCTAAGTGTTTTGACCTGACCTGCCCGGAGACGCAGGAGTTTGTGTTCAGCTGCATTCGTAGGCGAGAGGTCTGGTTCGTTCACCTAGGGACTCCCTGCACAGTTTGGAGTCGAGCTCGGCGCAACCTCAAGGACTTCAAGAAAGCCCGTCGAAAAGAAGCCATCGGAGTTGCATTAGCTCTTTTCTCAGCTTGTGTGGTCCGTGAGTGCCTTGCTGCAGGGGTACACTTTAGCATGGAGAATCCTCAGACCAGCCGACTTTGGGAGTTTGGGCCGGTTCGTGATCTCTTCCTTGACAAGCGAGTGTGCTTCTTCACGTTCCATATGTGTGCATGGGGGGCCCCCTACAAGAAGCCGACTAGCATCCTCACTGATTTGCATTCGCTGCTACATCTTGCATGTCGATGTCCTGGGAGGAACATTCATGAGCAACTACGGGGCACAATGACTACTTTTGTGTGAATGGCAAGCGCACTACGTGTAACCGCACTTCAGCAGCCGGCGCCTACCCCGTGACTCTGTGCACAGCCTGGGCTCAGCGACTCAGGGAAGCTGCGCCCAAGGAGGGATTCGGAGCTACATCACCATCTGAGACCCTCCGCTTCCTTCATGGCATCGAAGCGGCGGCACGTCGAGCTCAGCGAGCACTTAATGCAGCTCCCAGCGGACGTCTTCGACAGGATGACAACCCGGAGGACGGCGACAAGTTCCTGGTCGACGCCAAGCGCTACATCCGCACGCACCCGGTCATCTTCGGCCAGTTCACAGCCCAAGACATCGCTCGGCTCTCCGGCTACAAGCGGATCAACGACTACGCCAAAGCGACGCGCAAAACCCAGGACTACTCCGGAGGGGACCTCACTTCCTCCTCTCCTTCGGCTCCGTTCTCTCAAGGTCACCCAGAAGACCCTCGACAGCTACCACAGGCACGTCCGCGACTTCGAAGCTTGGGCCAAAGCTCACAAGCACCGCGTCACCAAGCACAACCTGGATGGTTTGGGCACCCTCTACCTGAACTTTCTTGCGGAGGACAACGACAATGAAGAGATCCAGCCCTCTGTCGGTGCCTATGTGATCTATGGTCTGCAGCTGCTACGCAATGAAGGGCCGAAGCGTGACTTCCTCCCTAACGCTAAGGAAGCTCTCAGCGGCTGGAAGAAGCTCCAGCCTGGAGGCATGCGGCTTCCTGTACCTGAGGAGTTTGTCTACGACCTCGGGCTCCTTGCCTTGCACCAGCAGCGTGGAGACTTGGCTTTTGCTGTCGCGCTCCAGTATGACACGTACATGAGGCCCTCCGAGTTGCTTGGACTCACTCTGGCCCACTTGGGCTTCCCAGCAGGCGGCCGCTATAACAAATGGTCCATTGCGATTGCCTTCCGAGTTGGGAGAGACAACCAAGCAGGGGACCTCTGACGACTCTGTCCTCGTGGCCGATCGACCTGACAGACGTTGGTTGGCAGAGGCCATGTCTTTGTACGTCAAGCAGTGCAACAACAAGCTCTTCCCAATCATCACCCTCAACTTCTATGAGCGATGGTGCGAGAAGAGCTGCAAGCTGCTGTCATACAAATCCACCTGCACAATGCCACACATCTTTCGGCATTCGGGGGCTTCAAATGATATGTTCCACAAAAGGCGATCTCTCGAAGAGATTCAGAAAAGGGGCCGCTGGTCGGCCCGTAAGAGTGTTACCCGCTATGAGAAGCATGCTTTGCTGCTCAAACGGTGGGAGCAAGCTGCCCCGAAACGAGTGACCTCGATCCGAGAGCAGTCTCAGAGCTTTGGGCCAGCCCTTGTGAACTTCCTGAAGACCTCCAAGTGCTGTTGAGCCTGCGACCCTGGCTTGCAGCCAAGCAGATGTGAACGGGATCACTGGAATGGGTCCTGAATGGGACTCAAGCTTGAGAGCTACGTATGCGTAGAGGCAAGAGCCTCTATGCGTACAAACATTTCACCTGCTTCCTTTGCTCCGCAGGTCACTGGCATTATGCAGCGAAGCCCGTGGCAAAATCTGGGCGACTTGCAAATGGTGAAGGCCGGGTCGGGAATTGTATATGTATATATACATATGTGTATATACATATACACATAGACACACATATATACACACCCATTATGGTAACTTCAAGCCAATTGAAGGTTCTAAGCTCAGGGGCTTGGGGTCTGAGGTTGCACGGAAGCACAGGTTGTTTGTCATGCTGCCGTAAGTGATAGGAAACTTATCAACGCCAACGTGCTTCCAGGTTCATGCGGAGGTAGAAGTGGGCCCATACGGTGAATACTAAAAATCTTGCAGGACTCTAGATACCTTATAGCTTGGGAATTTTGGTACTATTGTATAGTAAGGTCATGCAGATTTTTTGTATCAACACTAAGTCCCTTGAATGTGCTTGCAGCTATACTAAGAACTACACTCGCAACTTAACGCCGGCTTTCAGCTACGGACTCGCTGTCCTAACGGGACACCTGCGCGCGTGCCCAGAAGCTATCCTTCTTTGCCCATGTGACCGGTTCCTAAATCAGGGTTTTTCTGGAAGCCCGACTACAGCTTTGATTATGGCGTATGCAAGAGGGACAGTGATTCTCGGAAATACCGCCATGACTGTCCGTATCAGAAGTTGACATTTGGAGGCTCTGGTGCCCTTAGTTCTAAGTGGGACGAAATGGGATGATTGCCGATTACGATGAAATTAGCAGAATTGGCATTACTTCCCCAGCGTGTACTTTCATCCCCTTGTATAGCCCCCATAACCCAGTTTTAGAAATACTTATTTTAGCCACACCCATGAGCTTTCAAGGTCACAGCGCGCCCAAAGATTACAGGGTTACAGTCGCGCTATACTATAGTAGGCCAATTGAGAGGTGCAGGATACCCCGAAGCGCCCTGTACTGTACGTTAAGCCCTAGACACTAAATCCTAAATCCTCAACCCTAAGCCCTAAACCCTAAGCCTGAAAGATTAAGGTCGTATCTGCTCTTGCGCTCATCCAGGACAAGCGGCACATGGCCCAGCCGAACTCAGGCGCTTGGTGAATGTTTTAGGGCGCAGGGTTTGGGCACCTTCTGAAGCGGAGCTCACTCCTTCTGGTTCCTGAACCCTGAACAAGGTCGCTCTTTCAGTTTCAGTCCCATGAATTTTCGTGCCTGGAAAGTCCTTTAAATTGCCATTGGAGGGAGCTTCCAGGCGTCGACCTAACAAGCCTGCTGCAGGTTTAGGGTTTAGGGGTTTAGTTCGGGTTGAGGGTATAGTGGCTAAGGGCTTAGCGGTTTAGGGTTCGGAGTTAATTAGTAGGGACCAAGGGATTGATAGGGATTCTAGTCCCCATTTTCTACTAACCAACAGTAAGACAATGTATGTATAGGAAATGCCTTCCGAGAAAACCAGAAGGCTTGTACAGGGAGGATGTATGGTTTCGAGAACATGCCAAAATCGGAGTTTGCTAAAATTAGGGGTGCCCTTTGGGGTTGTTTGGGGCCCCCCGTTTTGCAAAACAACCCAAGTGGCGTAAACCCTAAACCCTAAACTCTAAACCCTAAACCCTAAACTTTGTGATTGTTTTGGAGGCTTCATGGAGCAGCTGCGGATTCTGGGCTCTTGTAGAACAAAATTTTACATTTTTATGGATACCTGGTCCAATATCAATAAACCCTAAACCCTAAACCCCATTTTTAGGTAGTATTTCAACAAAAACCCAGGATTCTTGAGAAGCAGGGCGACTTAGCTCGGCTGTTGCAAGGTGCGGACGGATAAAAACCGTGAGCAATAGTTTAGGGTGGACCCCCCAGCCAGTAATAGGGTTAGGGGTTTAGGGTTTAGGGTTTAGGGTTTAGGGTTGGATCCCCCACCCAGTAATAGTGACTATAAGGGATACTAGGGATTATACTAGGGTCCTCTTATATTCTTATTATACTACTATTACAGGGTGGGGGGTCCTCCTAAGCGATAGTCTGAACTCCTCGAAGCGGATTAGATAATTCGGGTTGAGGGTCTAAACTTCCTAGGTTATCAGGGGATAATATAGCGGGGTCTCATACGGGTTATTGAGTGGGGTACTAGGAGTTTAGGCTAAAGTCACATCGTCACACATCATGTTCCCGCTGCTGTTGACTGTTTCTACAGCAACTTCCGGATGCCAAGTTGACAGCGATTTCGCAGAATGAGCTCGAGTCTGCCAGATTTTAGGTGGACCCCCGACCCAGTCATAGTGACGATAAGGGATAATAGGGATTATATTGGAGTCCTCTTATATTCCGATTATACCACTATTACAGGGTGGGGGTCCTCCTAAGGCAGATCAGGGTTTAGGGTTTAGGATCTGGGATTTAGGGGTTATTACTTGGCACCACCAGCCCAAAAGGATAGCTCAGCTCAGCAGTTTACCACGCAGCCCCCAGACGAATCGTCGGTTCTCAGTACCCTGTGGCTATCTTCGGCTGGCATGAAAGTTCAAGAGGTGCGCTAGATAACCATAGACCATAGATCTTTCATCCCGTAACCCCTAAACCCCAACAACTACATGACCCTACATAACCACAGTGTGCATTTATTTTTCATTGTCTTCTCCATGTGGTTCTCCATTCTTCGCAAATGTTCCTTAAAGTCGAAACCCTAAACCCTGATCCCTAACCCGTAAGCCCTAAACTCTAAACCCTAAGCCGTAATCTCGAATCAAACCCTAAACCCCAAAACTAAACCCCAAACCCTAAACCCTAAGGCTAGACCCTAAGCCGTAATCCCGAATCACACCCTAAACCCTGATCCAACCCTAAACCCCAAACCCTAAACCCTAAATCCTAATCAAACCCTAAAACCCAAACCCTCAAGCGTAATCAAACCCTAAACGGTGGGTACTGCCCCCACCCAGTAGCAGTCTATATTAGGGGTCCTATTAAGGGCTATATATAACCATCATATATTTATTATCCAACTGTTACTGAGGGGGGCAGTACCCAACTCTAAACCCTAACCCCTAAACCCTAAACCCTAAACCCAAAACCCCTATACCCAATCTAAACGGTGTATCGTTCAGCCTTGGGCTTTCTGCCTGGCCATGGCGCCGGCAGCATAGTCAGAGCTATGCAGCGGGCCAAAGCCAGGAGCTATTACCCCCTAGGGGCTTAGGATTTAGGGGTTAGGGTTTAGGGCTTAGGGTTTAGGGATGAGGGTTTAGGGTTTAGGGATTAGGGGTTAGGGATTAGGGCTTAGGGTTTAGGGATGAGGGGTTAGGGATTAGGGCTTAGGGTTTAGGGATGAGGGTTTAGGGGTTAGGAGGGTTTAGGGTTTAGGGTTTAGGAGGGTTTAGGGTTTAGGAGGGT